AGGAACAAGAAAGGAAATAACAATTTGCCCTCCCGTGCAGTCCGCACTCCTGCACAGCCACTTAATTTGAAGACTGCATTAGTAATTACATGCCACTTTGTCCTCTCACGAGGTCTCCTGCCTCAAAATTACTAGCTGTTCCCCTGTATTCTGTGCTTCACATGACATTTCAGTACTCAAAGACTAATCATTTCTTCATGCTTGGCATTCACTTATCTGCTGCTGAATAAACTACAGACAACCTGGACCACCAATACAGCAAGCTGCTAGGCCAGGTTTGATTCAAGGAGTCTCTATTGTCTACTCTGACTGTCCGTGACTCCCCAGAGTCTTCTGCATCTCCTGCTTTCTAATCCTTTCAACTGGAGGCAGGTTTGGAGCACTTTGATTCAGTTTACATTTAAAGGCAAACCAACCTGATTCGTACTTTCGGAAACAGGGCACAAAAACACCTCTCCGAATTTTGCAACGCCCTTCGCCAGCCTGGTAGCGTGTACTCGAATGGCATGTGCTGAGGTAAGGTATGCATATAAATGTACATACTGCTGGAAATAATGCACACAAATGCAAACGCATGTGCATTAAGAGAAGAAATAATAATAATAATAAAAATAATAAATAAATAAATAAATAATATTTTATTTGTACCCCGCCCTCCCCGGCTGGAGCCGGGCTCAGGGCGGCTAACATCATAAAACTAACACAGTGTACAAAGAACATAAGAACATAAAAACAGGCAGGCTAGAAATGAATTTTCATGAGGACTTTGAACAAAAAAATCACAAACTGATGCCGACGTGCAGACAACTGTGTTTATGATTGGAAAGATGAGAAAGCAAAACTGACAGCTTATCCCATTCCCACCTAGAGGTGCTAGGTATTGAATCTAGGAACTTCTACATACGTAAGATTAATGATCTATCACTGAGTTATCAACTCTCCTATTGAAAAGAAAGACGTGCTGTAGGCAGTTTCATGAACTTGGAGAGCTGGTAGCTTCTCTGTCAATGAGTAAATACAGGTAACCATGTGGCTTCTCCTTCCCGTGATCATCTTTTTTTCTAGTTAAAGAGCAGCCAACTAGTGTGGTGTAGTGGTTAAGAGGTGTGGACTCATAATCTGGTGAACTGGGTTCAATTCCCCGCTCCTCCACATGCAGCTGCTGGGCAACCTTGGGCTAGTCACACTTCTCTGAAGTCTCTCAGCCTCATTCACCTCACAAAGTGTTCGTTGTGGGGGAGGAATGGAAAGGAGGTTGTGAGCCGCTTTGAGACTCCTTAGGGTAGTGATAAAGCGGGATATCAAATCCAAACTCCTCCTCTTCTTCTTCTTCTTCTTCTTCTTCTTCTTCTTCTTCTTCTTCTTGGAGCCCTCAAGATCCTACACATTCCAAGTTAAAAGAAGAGCAAGAGTTTTCCACATGCTGTTTCTGATGTGGCCGGTGAATACCCCAGCACAAATCAAGATGGATCTGCAGAGCGACTGCTTTGTCATCATCACAACATCGTCTCATTTTACACAGGACGTGGTGCTTCTCAGCTAGAAAGCACGACAATGGCACCATACCACAGTTTAAGAAGGATGTTGACTTATGAGGAACAGTTGAGGGAGATGGGTATGTTTAGCATGGAAAAGGGGAGACAGAGAGGAGATATGATAGCCATCTTCAGATATCTGAAGTTCTGTCACATGGAAGAGGGAAGAAGCTTGTTTTCTCCTGCTCGGGAGGGTAGGACTCAAACCAACAGCTTTGAGCTACGAAAAAGGAGATTGCAACTAAATATCAGGAAAACCATCTGTACCATGGTACCTCACGCCAATTAAATTGACAAGGATGTATAAAACAGGAAACAAGAATTGCTGGAAATGTGGGGTGAAAGAAGGTAGTTTCATTCACATGTGGGAAATTATATATAATGAATTAAAGAAGATATTTAGATATACGTTTTTGAAAAAGCCAGAGGCATTCTTGTTGGGAACAGTAGGAGAAGACATTACTAAGAATGACCAGAAATTATTCTTATATGCAACAACAGTGGCAAGATTATTGTTAGCCCAGGTTTGGAAACAACAGCAAGTACCAACAGTAGAAGAATGGTGACAGAAGGTAATGGAATATGCAGAAATAGCTAGATTAACGGGGAAAATTTGACAACAGGGCGATGGAACATTTCAAAAAGAATGGGAAAAAATTATGTCATACATAGGAAGGATAAGGTGAAATAGTGAAACCAGTAGAACTGAAATAAACCTCATAAGATAAAATACAAAGAAAATTTATGGAGGATTTATTTGACTATAGACACTCTATGGACAAATATGAAAGAAGAACTATAATAAGAGCTATTTGACAGTGCTATGGATTCCCTCTGGAGGTTGTGGACTCTCCTTCCTCGGAGGTTTTTAAGCAGAGGTTGGATGGCCATCTGTCAGGGATATTTTAGCTGAGATTTCTGCATTGCAGAGGGTTGGACTAGTTGAGCCTCGGGTCCCTTCCAGAACTGTCAGGCCAGTGGATGCTGTTGTCTCAACAGTGGGAAGAGTGACCGCTCACAATTCCAGAGAAAGGGATGAGATCTGGGACCCCCGAGTTCTATGTCCTGGTTCGGCTGTGCTGAGGAGCACAGGGTCAAGTTTTGCATCTCATTCGAAAGGGATGCCATCATTTTTAAGCAAGTCACCTCACATTAACCAAGTCTCGCTCTTTTTAATTACATTGCCAGAGTACGCAGCTTTGAGTCCGAGTTGCGGCTCAAGCTTCCTGCCAGACGTTTTAATCAAACTAATTAAAAACAAGATTAATTGAGTAAAAAGTGAAATGTGCAACATAAGGCAGTGTTTATATTACCTGCACAATCTTCTACTGTATCCCCATTATTTAAATCTCATTTTTGTTTGTTTTGAACAAGCTGTTCTTTTTTTAAAACTGGGGGAGAATACTTACAATAAGAAAAAAGTAGGGGGTGGAGGCCTTGAATAGCAAATCTTTATCGTAATCTTTTTTTCTTTTTCTTATTTTCCTCCTTTTTTTGGTGCTCAGAACATCTTCAAGGAGATGGAGAGTGAGGATTGTTTTCAGAAGCAGGGACGAAAGACAATAATTTCCACTGTTGTTTGTACACATTAACCTTCTGAAAGTGCTTTTCTAAACTGTGAATTTATGGCTGCGCTAAACGCTTTCTCTTTTCATCCCAAGACTGCAAGAGGGCATGAGTCTAGGTGGCAGAAGGAGCACTGAAAAACAGGGCTGAAAAACAATTTTCTGTTCAACTTTACCTGCATACAAAATTGTCAGAGGTTACTGTCCCCACAGACAAAAGAGGCAAAGATGATCTTCTTGGGTTCAAGAGGAAACACAATACCCTTGACTCTAAAAAACAAACAACTCTTTTATTCTCAGTTTTAAAAGTTTGATGTCATAATATTTTCCTTACAAAATGGTTAATTTTAGTGCTGTCAGTGATCATGGACAATATCATCATCATCATCATCATCATCATCATTTGTACCCTGCCCATCTGGCTGGGTTTCCCCAGCCACTCTGGGCAGCTCCCAACAGAATATTAAAAACATGATGAGACATCAAACATTAAAGACTTCCCTAAACAGGGCTGCCTTCAGATGTCTTCTAAAAGTCAGATAGCTATTTATATCCTTGACATCTGATGGGAGGGCATTCCACAGGGTGGGCGCCACTACCAAGAAGGCCCTCTGCCTGATTCCCTGTAACCTCACTTCTCGCAGTGAAGTTAGGAGAGATGAGAACAAAAAAGAGAGGAAAGAAATCCTGGGTTGATCTCAGTTGTTTGTTTAAAGCCAGGCCATACATAGTTTCCATGTGTGTACACCTGTGCTGCTTTAAAAATATGCACCGGCTGAACAAAGAGATATGACCTTGTAGTCTACCATAGAAGAGAGAGAGAGAGAGAGAGAGAGAGAGAGCTATATGGAATAGTGTGTGTGTGTGTGTGTGTGTGTGTGTGTGTTCTTTTTAACACTTTATATGACTATTTTATGTGGGTTATGTGGGTTAAACCACAGAGCCTAGGACTTGCCGATCAGAAGGTCGGCGGTTCGAATCCCTGCGACGGGTTGAGCTCCCGACCTAGCAGTTCGAAAGCACATCAAAGTGCAAGTAGATAAATAGGTACCGCACTGGCAGGGAGGTAAACGACGTTTCTGTGCACTGCTCTGGTTCGCCAGAAGCGGCTTAGTCATGCTGGCCACATGACCCAGAAGCTGTACGCCAGCTCCCTCGGCCAATAAAGTGAGATGAGTGCCCAGCCCCAGAGTCAGTCCCGACTGGACCTAATGGTCAGGGGTCCCTTATTTTGCCCCTTCATGGATCACTGCCATGTCGTGGTGAAGGGGCTTGAATAACTCCAAGAAACTATGAGCTATGCTGTGCAGGGCCACCCAAGACCGGCAGCTCATAGCTGAGAGTTTAGACTAAATGTGATGCACCTGGAGAAGGAACTGGCAAACCACTCCAGTATTTTTGCCATGAAAACTCTATGGACATTAAAAAGGAGAAGCTTTGAGAAGAAATTTCCAAGGCATGCTCTGGTTCATGGGGTCACGGAGAGTCGGACACAACTAAGACGACTAAACAACGATTATGACAATGATTATTTTGATGATTATTCTATTATTTTGTATTTTTATTCTTCCTGTTCCTATGGCTATTATTAAGTGGTAGGGTGAACCTACAGAATCAGCAGCCAGCTGCAGTCAGCCCATTGGAACTTTCTTCTCTATAAGGGTTGCTTATTTCACATCTCCCAACATTTCTCCAATGAAAAAAGGGACGTTCTGTTCCATAATAATAATAATTCTAATATTATTTATACACTGCCCATCTGAATGGGTTGCCCCAGCCACTCTGGGTGGCTTCCAATGTATATGAAAACATAATCATAGAAGCAAAGAATAGTAGAACCAAAGAGTTGGAAGGGACCGCAAGGGTCATCTAGTCCAACCCCCTGAAATGCAGGAACCTTTTGCTCAGTGTGGGACTCAAACCCACAGCCTTGTGAGTCAGAGTCTCATGCTCTGCCAACTGAGCTATCGCAGCTGACATCTAATAAAACACTAAAAATTAAGAAACTTCCCTATACAGGGCTGCCTTCAGATGTCTTCTAAAGGTTGTATAGTTACTTATCTCCTTGGCTCGGGGGGTCACATAACTCCATACTGTCCATGAGGAGAGAAAGGAAGAAAAGCTATCTCATTAGCTGCCTTTGGCTAGCCCCAATTGTCTCCTCGCCGCAGCAATTCCATCAGGTGACCTGAACTGCCTGTCCCAACTGGTCATTATAAAAAATATATCACGAAAAATGACACTTGAGATCGTTTTCTTTTTTCCCCATCCTTCCTTCGCTTCTTCTTTCCTTTTGTGTGTTTGTGAGTCCAAGGGCAGGGACTGAATGGATTTGTTTCGTTTTGTAGATTTCTTTTTTTATAATAATTTTTATTGAGTTTTACATTTTCATTATAATGATAACATATCCAATAACAAAAAATTAATAAAATTTCCCAAATTTTCCCCTCCCCCCCGACTTCCCTCAACTTCCTGTTCTGGTTTTTAGCATATTAATTCCCCTGCTTGCTAAATTATATCTTCATATTGTGTTCTTTATATCAATTATTGTTATTCTCTTGTCATTTTGATATCATCTTTATCATTTCTGTATTTATTTTGTTACTTGTAAGTGTTTACTCAAACCCTGCTAGTGAGCCTATTTCTTTACATTGTTTCTGTAAGTACCTCATAAATGATTCCCAGTCTTTTTTAAAGTCTCTCTTGTCTTTGTCTCTAAGTCTTTCAGTTAGCTTCACTATTTCAGCATATTCCATCAATTTTTCTTGCCATTGTTCTTTAGTTGGTGTTTTGTCGCTTTTCCATCTTTGGGCTAGCAATATCCTAGCTGCAGTTGTAGCTTACATAAAAAGTTTCTTCTTTTCTTTTGGCAAATCTTGACATGAAATGCCTAATAAAAAAGCTTCTGGTCTCTTAACAAAGGTTATCTTAAACATTTTATTCATTTCATTATTGTTCTGTAGATTTTTAAGCTACTCTAGGAGCCTTGTTATCTAGTAAGAGATTCTTTAAACTAAAAATAATATAAATAAATGTTGAAGCAAGCACACATAGAAAGTCTGTGTAAGTGCTTCAATATCTCCAGATCAAAGCACTTTCTGATGTTTTCTCTCTCCATTAAGATACAAAGTGCCCCAAGCTTTTATCTGCTTTGATGAAGTTTGTCATCAAAATGACACACCACAGTGTCAAGCGAATGATGGAGGAGACCATTCATAGATCAATAGATGATGTCCTCTGCCATGAAATCATGCTTGCTTTCTCTCTTTTTCCCCTCACACAGCAAAATATTCAGGAGTATCAGACATGAATCACAACCTTTTCAGGTTTCCTTTGGGTTGCAGCAATATTTGTGGAAACTTGTTGTTCTGGTTTACTGTGATCCTTGCCATTATTTCTGGCCTTCCTGTGGCCTCTGTCCAATGAGAAATATGATAAGGCAGCATCATGGCAGAGCTATAAATGCAGCCAGCTCCATATGATGATAATCAAGCTAACATTCAAGTACAAGTTTATGAGGCCTAATAACAGTAGCAGCCTCGTGCCTAGGAAATAGTTGGGCAACATAAGCCATCTTGAGCATTTGCTAATGGAACACTATTTCTCCTCCACCAAAGGTTATACATGTACAAAGTAGGAATGGCCAACGGAGGGGAAAACATGTGATGTGTTCATTCATCTGAACGTATTTGAGGGCTACTAGGCCTATGTGCTGGACTGGATGAATCCCAAGCCGGAATTAAGATTGCCGGAAGAAATATAGGAGGAAATAAAGAACCTCTTAATGAAGGTGAAAGAGGAGAGTGCAAAATATGGTCTGAAGTTCAACATCAAAAAACTAAGATCATGGCCACTGTTCCCATGACCTCCTGGCAAATAGAAGGGGAAGAAATGGAGGCAGTGAGAGATTATACTTTCTTGGGCACCATGATCACTGCAGATGGTGACAGCAGTCGCGAAATTAAAAGATGCCTGCTTCTTGGTAGAAAAACAATGACAAACCTAGACAGCATCTTAAAAAGCAGAGACATCACCTTGCTGACAAAGGACCATATAGAAGGCTGATCGCCAAATAATTGATGCTTTTGAATTATGGTGCTGGAGGAGACTCTTGAGAGTCCCATGGACTGCAAGAAAATCAAAACTATCCATTCTGAAGGAAATCGGCCCTGAGTGCTCACTGGAAGGACAGATCCTGAAGCTGAGGCTCCAATACTTTGGCCACCTCATGAGAAGAGAAGACTCCTGGAAAAGACCCTGATGTTGGGAAAGATTGAGGGCACAAGGAGAAGGGGACAACAGAGGATGAGTTGGTTGGACAGTGTTCTCGAAGCTACTAAAATGAGTTTGACCAGACTGCGGGAGGCAGTGGAAGACAGGCGTGCCTGACGTGCTGTGGTCCATGGAGTCACGAAGAGTCAGACACGACTAAATGACTAAAGAACAACAACAGGCCAATGTGCTGAATTTGACCAAATCCCTCACATTCCTTTACAGCTCGTGCAGAAACCACCTTCTTGACTGTTGGACCCCACAATGGTCTTGTCTGCTCAATCTGCTGGAGCCTGTCTTCACATGTAGGGGAACGCTCTAACTTACTGAATGTTTGAAGCCCATCGGCTACCTGGCTTAGCCTGCCAGTTGAAGCCATTCCCAAGGTATGGCTGCTGTCGCATGCTGACAGCTTCTAGGAGCCACAGGTGAGGGTATGGTGGCGACCAAAGGTGGACAAACTACCCCAAAAGGAGCATGGCATGCAAACCCTCCAAGTTTTCCTATTTTCCAGGGACAGTCCTATATTTACAGGAGCCATCCCAGTTTCATCTGAGAAATGGTATGGAGTTATGCAACCCTGAACCAAGGAGATAAGTAAGTATACAAGCTTTAGAAGACATCTGAAGATGTCAGGGACTGAGCAGAGGAGGAATGGTGGAGACCCCCCTCCCCAGCCTGACCCTTCCACAGAAGAAGATGACAGTTCAGAATTACAACAGGGGTTTGAGGGAGATCACAGCTCAGAGGCAGATGAGGGGGAAAGCTGGGAAATAATGGGAGAAGAGGAATAAGAAGCACCAGGGGGTGACAGCTGACAGACACAGTGTCTTTAGAAAGCATTCCAGATCCTCCATCTCCTAGACCCCGGTGAGCATTGAAAGTAGGAGAGCAAAGAGCTCAGAGGCAGAGGGCACTTCTCAGCACCCGTAGTGATGACACATGAAGGGGGAGAGGGAGTGGGTGGAGACTCACCCGGGGCAATGCCGTTATTCCAAGAGGCTGCATTCCCAAGCCTCTCTCTGTGAATATTGAATAAAAAGCAGTTGGTAAGAACTTTTCCTTGTCTTATCCGTTCCTGGCAACCTGCCGTGGGGCTTGAATCCTCTGCTGCCTGACAGGAAATTTTTTTTTAATGTTTAATGTTTTGTTATGTTTTTATATATATGGAAGCTTTTCAGAGTGGCTGGGGCCACCCAGGCAGATGGGTGGGGTATAAATAATAAAATTATTATTATTATTATTATTATTATTATTATTATTATTATTATTATTGAATAGGATGTCCCTATTTTTATTGGAGAAATGTTGGAGGGTATAGATGGGTCCCCCACCAGAGCTAGTACCCATCTCCTAACACTTAGAGTGCAATAATATTCACCCTTTCCTGACAGTAAGTTTCACTGAATTGAATAGGCCTTATTTCCGAGTGCACCTGCATAGAAATAACTTCTATGCTAAATCGTGTCCTCCATCATGGAGGGCACATGTTGCGGTGAGATCACCTAAACTGCCTCCCTGTTGTGGGGCGGGGCCATTTGCTTAGCCACAACACCCCATTGGTTGCCCCTTGGTTGCTGGAGTAGAAATTTGGCCTGTCTATTGGCCACCGAGGGGCTATTTAAGCTGCTGCATGTCGCTGGGAGCTTTCTCTTTTCTGCGATGTGCATCAGATCACCCATCCTATATTTAGGGCTGTTCTTTGGCCTTGCTATGCCTGTCTAGGGGTCGTCTGTTTTGGAGCAGGGGCCCGGTAGGAATTTTGCCATTTGGCTGATTGGCTGTTGCCACTTGGTTTTTGCCTATTGTATAGCAAATCGTCACAACTTTGTAAGGTTGGCGGTTAGGCATTGGTTCAATATTTTGTGGAGGGGATGTGGTTGGCTGTGCTTGCCCCTCCATTGCTGCTGCTAGGGAATTCCATTAAAGGAACCCAGGGGCTTCCCTTGCTTTTGCCTGAACCCTGTCAAGGGGCTAGGGCCACACCAGAGCCCCTGGGAGCATCTGGGGTGAGCTGTGAGATCGAAGGAGTTCTCGCTCCCCCAGGATGCTTTCCCTTACTGACATATGGTGGTGCCCAGTGTCAGTCCTGTTCTTGCCACAGCGCAGGTTCAGTTAGTCTGGAACCAATGCCTAAGCAACCACTCACATGCTGTAATCAATAAAGTTGTGGCCAAAATTAATGCCAAAAACCTTAAACTAAATTCTGTGTCTATTGTGTCTTTATTTTGGGGGTGCTTTTGGGGGTCTTCACACGCAAACTATGCACCTCTAAGTTACCACCCAATATTACCTAAAAGAAACTTGGTGGACAATTCGGAAGGCTTCCACTTAGAACAGCCTCCCACAGCCTGATGTGATTGGACTACATGTCCCATAATCTCTTGGCACTGGCCATGCTGACTGAAGCTGATGGGAGTTGTAGTCCAAAATCATCTGGAGGGTGCTGTGTTAGGGAACCTTATTTCAGATGACACATCCGTAGATATTTTGTTGAATTATCAAACGTTTCTCAGGAGGCGCCACAGATCTCTGGCATCTAAAATCTTAATATGGGAAGTTGATCTTAAAGTGAACACCAACAGCTCTTGGCTTCCTAATTCATTTTTCACATGATTATTTTACAGATGAGTGGATCATATTTAATTTAGATTTGATTTTTCTAAATCTTCCCTTGGGTTAAACCCACTTATCTGATTAACATCCTGAGAAAAACAGGCTTGTTCTACATAGCTCGATCATGTTCAGCATTACTATTAATGGTTGCAAAGTCCTCAGAAGCGGAGTGCAGAACGCCATCGTTTATATATGCATATTTCCTTGACATGGTGAACTATTGCTTTGTTACTGATATTAGCTCAAATATGCCTGAGGTGTAGGAAGATATATAAAATGGCAAATAATGCGGTGCCTGAGGAGAAAGTGAGGAAATTTGTTGGGGAAATGGAGACTTCCATGTCAGTCATTTGGGAAGCACCATTCCAGGTGTGACTGTGTAGCCAGGGAGTTGTGTCTTCCTATTGTGTTTTACACACACACACACACACACACACACACACACTTTTCAGATTTATACATTTCATTAATTTTACAATCATTTTAACATTTCAAAACTTGACTTCCTTCCCCCTCTTTCTGCAGTTCCTTAAATTTGTTTTTTAAAATATCTTCTGCATATCCAAATTGACCTAATTTTCTCATTTATTCATCTTCTTTAAATGTATGAAACTGCAGGTTATTATAATAATCCTGCCAATGTTTTCTATTTGTGTGCAATTTATCTGTAAATATTCAATAAACCATTTCGATTCTTTTATAAAAAGTTTGTTATCTTGATTTCTTATTCTTCCAATAAGTATCGCCATTTCTGCATATTCCATAAGTTTTTGTTTCCATTCTTCCTTTGCTAGGACTTCTGCTTCTTTCCACTTTTGCGTGAGTAGCATTCTTGCTGCTGTAGCAGCATACATGAATAAATTTCTATACAATTTAGGTAGTTCTGTCCCTAAAACAAGAAAACAGTTTAGACAACCCAACTTGTTGGGGGAGACTCCTTTAAACCAAATTTGTATTTTTAGTCACACCATTGCTATATCAAATGTTTGTTAGGCACTGAATAGCAAGCAGCAGCAACTGAATCTTGAGAGTATGAAAATCAGCTGTGGCCAGGAAACGCCCAGGAAATAAAATGTCAACTTCAGTAGACAAAATACGAGTGTTATGTACGTTTGGAGTTTTTGAACCCAAAGCTAACAATATTGAGAAGCTTCTAGAAGAGTGGATAGAGGAAAGCAAATAGGCTGAAGACATTGCAGCAGACCAGTCTTCCTCAGCATGCTGTCCTCTATCTCTTTGGGACACCAGATCCCATCAGCCCAAGCCAGAAGGGATGCTGGAAGTTGTAGTCCTAACCACCTGCAGTTCACTAGGCTGTGGAAGGCTGAGATGGACAATGTTCCACTTAGGTTGTGGTTTTTTTTGTGAGTTGGGCTTTCTTTTCTTTTCTTTTACAAACCATTACTTCTCTCTTCTCCTTCATACTGGAACTTTCCATCAATACCTCTCTCATCTGAGCACGTTTTGGGTCCTTTGCCTAGCAACGCATTTGAAAGCTCAGATGAATAATGCAAAATGTGTGAGGTCAATTTCTTTTGAACCATATTGGTTACCAAAGAAAAAAGAAGGGGGGGGACCCTGAAAGTTGTCTCTCTTTCTTGAATACAACTATTCACAGAACAACTGGTCTGCAGGATAAGATGGAGCCAAGGAAGGGACATGATTTATTAGTAAGGTTTCAAGGAAATGGGATTGGATCAGTGGCTAATGGTTTTTGAAGAAGTCTGCTGTCTGGATTGACTGTAGGAAATACATTATTTATCAGGAAGAAAATGCTTCCTATGATTTCAAGTTTAAAAGGATTGCTTTCTTTATCTTTCCCCCCAAAAACAAATCTATTTTTATGTTATTAAAGATTCCGTCCTATTCTTTTTATCTGCATCTTGATAAGAGGGATTTTGTTTTCCTCTTTAAGATGACTCATAGGCACAAAGTTTCGCACAAGATGGGAAATTGCCTCAAGTCATTTCAGAATGCGCACACACATCCACATGTCATCTGTTAAGTGTGAATTCTGTTAATGACTTTGCTGCCATGATTTCCATTATTAACGTCCCCCATCCCTTTCTCCAAGAGGTTACAACTACAGAAAATCAAGACAAGTGAAACTTTGGTGACAGATAGTGTTGCTATCAAATGGCAATTCCTATGTTTGTTTGTTTGTTTGTTTTTATTCATTGGTCTTTAGTAAAACTAAAAGTTTTTAAAAAAATCAGTGTTCTCATTGTACCTTTTCTTGAGCATTTTCAGTAACAGATACATTGATACATACAAACTCTGTAATGACATGTTGACTTGGACAGATAAATCTTTTCAGGTCACATATCTCAGAGCAGCCCAAAGGGATGTTGAAATAAATAAAACAAAAACAAAAGAATAAAAATTCTTGATGAAAAGTTATTAGTGCTTAAAATGCATTCAGACATTACATAGATCTGCATCTATTATTTTATTTTTTAATCCACTGGTGTTTATGATGCTACTGTTTATGATGCTATTGTTTACGATGCCGTCTTCACTGTTTGAAGTTTGTAAACTCATTCCACTGATACTTTTACAGGATGATTACAGCTCAAAGAAACTTGTGATAACTGCTCTGCAACAAAAATGGCTGTGCGAGTCAAAGCTGGTTCGCACATGACATTGGCATCCCTTATGATATCATAGAATCATACACTTGGAAGGGACACTGAGGATCATCTGGTGTGACCCTCGGCAACGCAAGAATATGCAGCTGTCCTATACAGGGACTGAACCTGCAACCTTAGTGTTAGCACCATGCTCTATCCAACTGAGCTATGTCTATACTATTTATTAGGGATGTGTGCACACACACTCAGTCTATTTTAGGGCTTAATCTGGCACCTTTGCATGGCTCTAATCTGACCCAACATGATGTGGTGCTGACCCAACCTGGATTCAGGCTCCAAACCAACTGGGGGCCTTGCAGAGTTCATGGTCTCTGTGCTTTTCTTCCAACCCCCACAACTCCCATATTTAATCAGGTTTATAATTAAACATAACGTCAAGAGGAGAGGGGGAGAAACACCTAACATCTTGGCCTCCCTGCTCTCCTTGCTGACAGATAGCCCCCTTTTGATGGCCCCAGATCTCTCTGAGTGGACCTGATCCAAGAGGAGGCAAACTGAGGCAGCCTCAACCTGGTCTGGTCCAATTTAAAGTCGACCCAATTCAGTCCCAAATTGAATTGGGATCCAGGACTCAACAAGATCTGGTGCAGGGCCCTACTGCTTAACACAGTAAAGTAAAGGTAAAGGACCCCTGGACGGTTATGTCCAGTCAAAGGTGACTCTGGGGTTGCGGCACTCATCTCGCTTTCAGTCTGAGGGAGCCGGCGTTTGTCCACAGACAGCTTTCCGGGTCATGTGGCCAGCGTGACTAAACTGCTTCTGGCGCAACGGTACACCGTGATGGAAACCAGAGCCACAGCAGTACCTATTTATTTACTTGCACTGGCATGCTTTCGAACTGCAAGGTTGGCAGGAGCTGGGACTGAGGAACGGGAGCTCACCCCCGTCATGGGGATTCCAACCCCCGACCTTCTGATCGACAAGCCCAAGAGGCTCAGTGGTTTAGACCACAGCACACCATGTGAATTCTGATGCTCTGTGCAATTGGTGGCTACCATGGAGAGCCTGACTTGGGGGAAAGTGGCATATAGATATATTAAAATAATAATTACAAGGGCCAAATTCACTACATCATAGCAAGTGTTCACAAAGGGAAAGGGAGCGTGATGCAAAAGACTCCAGTTGGGTGTGCCTAATGAAGAGATTGATCTCTGTGGCAGGTGTAATGCACAGCCTAGGTCTCTTTGGTTATCACAGGTGCAGAATCAGTCTCTCAGACTTTGTTCTGAGAGTTAGTCTACAAATATTTTTAATACTATTGTTCTACTACGTCTGCTAGGTCTAATACTACCGCAGCTATGCCGACCGCTAAAAATAGCAATAAGCATAAGCAATAAGCAATTCTCAGGTGGACGGCAAATGAAAGAGATAAATGTCTAAGCTGTCTGCAGTCATGAAGTAGGCCTAAATCTGATTTTTGTCATTCTCAAAGGCCATGCCATTAAAAGTAGCTGGAAACAACACCAGTGTAAAAAATATGTTAAGTGAAATCAGAGCCAGGTAGATGGGACCCATTTTCATGGAAATCTATGCTAACAGTAGTCATTATCCAATTGTAACGAAAGCTCTTTGCAAGACAATTCACTCAGCTCCTTTCCTCAACTTTCAGAGAGTTTAGCACCCATCTTTAAAGTCCTATTTCAGTAAAAAGAAATAAATTGGAACATCTTTGTTTATTGTCGCTTGAAAAGAAATAATGAAAACGTGTCTAGTCTGTAGATGGTGGCACAATATTTCCTGAGACAAAGTGTCACCATTTGAACAAATAATGCTGAATTTATTTAAAAAGTGGCAATATAAAAGCATGATGGTTTGACAGATATGTGAGAGGACAAAGTTCTCTGTATTTGTTTATGGAACTTTGTATTAAGTCTTCTAGTATTAAGTCTTCCAATGAAGCTGAATGCTGTAAGAGTCTGGGGAGACAAAAGAAAGTACTTCACAGTGCATAGTTAAACTATTAAATTCGCTCCCACAAGAGTCAGACAGTGGCCAGCTTCCTCGATGGCTTGAAAAGAGGAAAGGTTACCAAACGCTTTGTTCCACCATTTTTGACACCATGTAAACCCTACCAGTTAGGATGCGTGGGCTGGTTGTTCCAATCAATCCAAGCCATCTTTGTGTTTCTATACAAATAAAAATTTTTAAAAAAATAGACACACTTACCTATTTGGAATTTCCTTCCTGTCTTTTCTTCCTGCTACATGGAAAAGCACATGAATCTGACCTTTGAAGAGTTTGTAAGTAAACCATTTTTAACTTGCCAAATGTGTGGTCTCCTTCCATGCTAAGGGAAGTTGGGAGATTTGAAGAGGATATTTTAAAGATTTAACATCCTATATTTCTACGCTTTACTTTGCTGCATGTTTGTGATTTTAAAGCTCTGCTGGGGCTCTCTCACCATAGAGTACTTGCCCCAAACCTGGATCTGGGCATATAGGGAATAGATAGGCGATAGATGATTGCCAGAGCACTACACTGAATTCCTCTTATTATGATGTATTATTATGTTAGAAATTCATGGCCATTTCTGGCTCTGTAGCACAAATACATATATTGGTAAGCATACAGTGGTTACATAGACTTCTTCTATGAATGTAAAATGTTGCTTTCAAATGTAGAAAAATGCAATGTGTAAAATGCCCCATGTCACACAATCACTTCTTCTATGTGATGTTAATAAACATGAATGTGTTCATTTCCTGCAAGTATTTGGCTCATTTGGAGCCCGTTGGTTCACTTTAAAATGCAAATAAAACCAGATCCACACCCACACCCCTCACAGCAACCCATTTCTCCTGTTATGTACTGAAGTTTTCACCCTGGGCCAGCAGGGGGATACTGTAGATAGTTTTCACTCAGGTCCACATATGCAAATAAGGGCTTGAAAGTGACGTTCAGTGATTGGATAGTTATAGAAAATGGTTACTGTTGCGTTGTAGTGGAGCTCTATATAAGCAGGCTGGCCGAACCCTTCAGTTCAGTTCTGTTCTGGCCTGTGAATAAACAAGAGCTGTTTAAAGAATCGCTGTGTCGTCTGATATGTTCACCCACAACTTAACATCTCCCAGGCCTGCAGTAGGAACTAAGAGCTGTTACTTTTCTGACCAATTTCAGAAACCCAGTTACTTACACAGAAACAAGGCTATGTAGAGTCCCAAGTATGCCTCAGATTTTCTGATCCTTGCAATGATGGCATGGATACTGGGGAGGGTAACAGTAGCTTTCACTGGTGCTCAAGTTTAATATTAACATTAGCAGGGCCACAAATATCTTCTGAACTGTTTATGGATTGTGGCAAAATCTCCTCAAGCTAAAATAGAACATGTGTTTCCTTACTGGGTAATAAAGACTTGGTTATGTAGATCACCCAACTGAGATTGTCCTTGGAAGTCTCTTTTACTATTTACCTACTTATTTCACAAGATTTATATACTGGTTGATTGTAATAAAACCTCCAAGCTTACACTATAACCTGGACTTTTTTTCTTTCAGCTGGAGCTCACTGGAGCTCAACTCTAGCACCTCTCAGGCGGGTGCCATTGCCATTCTAAGAGAACGAGGGAGATGTTCACGGTGAGTTGCAGTACCTCTTTTTCTAGAAAAATAGCACTGAACATTAACATTGACAACATTGTCTTGCGACACTGAATAATAAGTTATCGTGAGTTTGCTAGTTAAAGAAAACCTTAGTCTTCTGCAGCTTGCTCAATAAATTCTTGTGCTGCAATTTAAACACAGAAGCACTGTTTACATGATGCTGTGGACATTTGGGCTTTGGGAAATCATTTGTCCTTTTCTCTGTTTCTCCATTTGTTTTCTATAGGTTCAACTACCTCCTGAGATATCATTGCAAATAGTTTGGCATGAAGGTTCCTGAGATAAGGGTAGCAGGCAGCCTTTGTGAATGGCTGTTTGGAAGCCAGTTGCCAGTTTGAGTCAAAATGGTGCACCAAAGCGTGACTTTGGTGTGACTTCACCTCTTTTTTGGCAGAGCTTCAGCTGCCTCTCAAAATATTGTCCCCAGACTGGGCACAAGAGTCGTTGAGTTGGGGTTGGTGGACTTGGTCATAGTTTGGACATTGTGTGCTATTTTAAATCAAGGTGGCAGACTGAAACATCACTTTGGGGTATGTTGAGTGCTTTGCTATGAATATTTCCAGAAAGTACTACACTGCGCCACATGTTTTCCTTTCAGTGAAAGCGTGTTGTTGTTTTTCTTTGCATATCATAGAAGCTGGAACTGTGGCCATGTGTTTTATATACTAGAAACTGAAAAAATAAAATAAAGACTCAGCAGCCTTGACAGTAGCATTGCATTGGATATGTATTTTATATCACATTTGGACTTTATGTGTGCAAATCTACACCCTCTTTTCTATTCTGTGATCAGAGTAAATCTGGAGTTCACCCCAGACCTCTCTGAAAATTGAGCTGACCTAGAAGTCATAGATAGGTAAAGCTCAGTAATAACACAACTTGAAAATCAATACGTTCTGCTTTACAGGGTCATGATAAAGTCCTTGTGGTTTCAATGGCAAAATGATATTTGGATTTTGTAGAGTTTTTTGTATTATTGCCAATTAACTTCCTAAGGTCTTTGAAACAAAGGTCTTTCTACACTTTGGAATTGTATTTTGAATGAATATGCTTTATGGGCGTCCTTAATTTTTTAGAGAAATTGAGTGCTTATCAAATCATTTCTTAGATTCTGCATAATAGGATCCTTGTCAGTGCTTGGAAGGTTCATTTTAGAAAGGAACAAGTTCTAATTCTATATCGAGTTCCTACTTTTACAAAGCAAACTAGTTATGTTCCTGCAACTGTACTTTTCCCTGCAGCAACCTTGTCTTATGAGAAGAGAACCTCATTTACAGGTTTAGGAAAGCACTTTTAAGAATGCTGATATTCAGATCAGGCAAAGATTTTGTTCCATCTCCTTCTATGCATTTTAATCCTATGGAACAGAAAAGAGACGCAACATTTGAAGCCTCAAATGCTGGGTGCTGAAAAGGCAGTATTTAAATATTTTAAATCAATGCAATTTACTTTCGATTTAATTAAAACTGAATGGGACTAATGGCAAATGCCCTGGTATTGGCAAAAATGTCATGCTATAAATATCAATTAATTTTGTGAGATTATATGCTTG